ATCCAATAAGAATTAAGAGGCTGACCATTTCCTCTTCCTGCAGATGATATAATCCTATTTCGGGATCTCCATCTCATAGCCCTACACATCTCCTTCTCTCTCGCCTCTCTCTCTGATTCTCCCCTGAGATCCTGTTCGTTCTATGAGAAGGGCTGCTGCACATTGATCCCCACTATCTGTGTCGGGTCAGTGGATACAGCCATACTCAGCACTTTCTGTATGCCTAGAGAGTACCCAGGCTGTCACAGGCTGCTTTTCCTTACTACCCCTGAATATTCACCCTCTCCTAGGAGCAGTGACAGGCAATCTTTGTTGACCCCCCTGGGTCACCGCCTCGGCACCGAATGGATGTCAGATATTTAGATAATATGTGGCATACAATATGAGATCCTGACATACAAGATGTCCAAAGGCCCTGCTTCATTTGGCCCATGTCAGATGGTTTTACACAAAAGCTCAAAGGTGAGTTACAGTGTGTGAATCAGTAAGCTCACTGAAAGGCACCCTGGGATGCTCTCGCTGAATAAATATATAACTGACATAAACTATAAACAAATGACACTTTGCTAAAGCAGATTCTCCTCAAAGCTGAACCAGCTCGCTTTGACTTCAGACCTATGCTCAGCAGCGTCCTGACCTCTATTATGGTAAGGCCTTCTCACTTAAAATGTAACCTCTTCTGACAAAATGACAGAACGCCTTAGATACACTCAGGGGGGTGCTTTTCCTCCTGTGAACGACCGTACTGTACGGTAGTTTCAGGCTTAGCCAGCATGTGCACAAATGTGACATGTTGCATCTAGCCCTCCGAGTAGAGCAAGAGATGCAGTCTGTGAGCAGTATCTGTGAACATAGGTCACTATTAACGTCGTCTCAGGAGGCCCATAGTATTGCATGGATGGATAGTCATATACTATAAATACCCATCTGCATACTGTATCTGGCGCACTGTACATGGGCAAGATCCACATCTCTAACTGCAGACTCTGTGTCTTTGTGGTTGTATTGATTTGCTTTTAAAAATACATGTGTTCACTCTTCTCTGACTGCTATAATATAGGAAACATGATAGTAGGGAGCACATCCTCTATAAGTGCATTAAGTTCAAGATCTCCTCCAAGAGGTCCAAACTGCTCTTTTTAAAGTGATAAGAGAAAAGGAAATATCAAGAGCTGATATCAAATTTCACGTCGCCTTAGATGAGGCTATCACCTCTTGTCATCGCAAACAAAATTTCCCACAACTGCCAACCAAAGGTGTTGGATGGTGTCACTTTACACTGAAAAGTCTAGCAACCACAGGAAAACGATCTTACTTCCGCTGCCATTACAAGACACAACCGCCTGCAGTACCATTGAACGAATTACGTGTTTGTTCTCGTGAAAAAGTGACAGCCCTAATGGGTAAAATTATATAAATCTGCTATTCCTCCAGGAGGCCTGATGAGAGAATTTAGACTTTCTTTGTCCTATTTTCTCCCCCATTTCCCTCAATCTGTGACACAGCAGGCCTGTTTTACACTTTTTACATTGTATATCAACATCCTAAAACAGTGCTTGTGCCTTAGTCTCAGCATAAACGGACCTGCGTGTCCTCAGAAATCACCGGAGTCCTCATAATACTGTGCTACACTAACAGTAAACTCAGCTAGAAAAATTTTATGAAATGAAAAGTGCATATGAATCAGTTTACTTTCACTGATATTGATTTCACTGATTTGGTGGGTTACCATTTATATCTGCTGTCTCTTATGTTTTGCCATTGCTAAAATCAACACGGCGCAATTCAAAACTAGCACTATTAAAAGTAACTTGTTAACTACTCTGCTAAAAAAAAGTGATCTTTTCCTGAGTGGCTCCTCTCAAGGGCCTGTCACACATCCTATAAGCCGGTGAACTAGCGTAGCTTAGCCTAGAATGCTCTCGCTGCCCAAAGTCTCCCTTCCATCCTCTTCCAGGCCTTCCTGTCCTCTCCAAAGCTTTGATCCTCTAAGCCTGCAGAGTTACAGTATCAGTCCTCGGTTACACTAAAACCCACACTCACACATCTAGAGCTGCGGTGGAAGACCAACTCCTGCTCCAGCACTAAGCCTCCCAGTTGATATAATCCATCCTGCTTCTCTTCTACCTGCAATGCTCTGGATTTTTAAGCAAAGATGTGTTCTCATCTGCAATTGCCTCGGCTTGCTACAATGCCTTTATTGTTGAGACATCTTAGGAGTCTAACTTCGGCCTGATCAAACTGGTTTCACACCAGCCTGCATTCCACATTAGGACATCTGCTCTTCTTCTAGTAACTGCTTCTCCAATCTGCCAGCAACCAGCGACCTCATCCTAGCGACACAGCCCTCAGCTCTCAGGCCTGTTAGTATCAGACAGCCCCCCAGAGCCTCAACATCCCCATCATCAGTACCACCACCCAGCTCCACAGCACCAAGGGATGGACTGGGCCTGCTCAGTCTACCCGTGGCCCCACCGACAGGGGATAAAGGGATAAAGAGCCTCTGCTCGGGGACTGATTACTTACATCTGCCAGGCTAAATCCCAGTGCCCACACATATACACACACATGTGTACAGACCATACAAACACACACTTGGCCTGCTGCAAGCTGCAACAAATGCACTGATGCATGTATTGTTTTCTGACATGAGCATGTGGTATGTGGGGAAGCTGTGTGCATGTGTCCATGTGTATGTGAGTGTGTTCGGCACCTTTATTCATGTGTGAGTAAAAGATTACGTGTCAATAAAATGCATAATGAACACACGTATGATAAACTGTTAATAGCACAGCCATCACTAACTTCACATTATTGCTCCTATAAACATGTCAGAGGCTCCACAAGCAACATAGTCAACAATCCGGCAATAACTTTGTCCTGAGCAAAGGTCTTATCCGCCTGTAAATGCTCATGAGTGTTGAGACACTCGGAACACTTCAGGCCGCTTCATTTAATATGAACAAACAATAATACTTTCTCATATCTTAAGATGTTACTGAAATCACGATCAAGTCTCTGACTCTCTATGATCCTCTGTAAATATATAATAATAATATTCTGTCGCAGTAAGATATTGCCATTTGCACTTCACAGTACTCTCTGTGGTCCCTTGTTGACTTTAACCATGCCAGGCTGTGGCAGATGATTTCCAATAGCTTGTAAATATACTCTGGGTTGTTGGCAGGCCGCTCTTTACTTAGAGTTATTGAAGCCAGAGCTAACAGGCTACCACTGGGCAACGGTCTTCCTTTAACACAACTCATCTAGCACAGTAACAAACACACGTCTATAATGTCTGCCACTATCAGAATGATGAAAAGGGAGAGTGTTGACTGTATATGCTGGCTTGTATCCGGGGGAGTTTTAGTGCAGGCGTAGAATATTTTTAATTTGACATTTCCGAAACCATGATCACAGCTCGGATTTTCAGCTGGCCCGTATACAAAACAAATGTCAAATACCATGGGACTGGCAGTGGCACAGCGTAATAGAGTTTAGCCTTTGACCACAAAGTCATCAAATAACACTGTTGTCATGAGTTCCCATTGATTGTCAGTATTAGAACGCCGGCATCACTATCAGACGTTCCCAGCGAGTGGATGTCAGGCTGGCCCACTGACCTCGTGCTTCCAGCTCATCTTTCTCTCCCGGGGAATAGAAGGAGAAAAATCATAACTCTCATAAGAGCATATTAATCCCATGGTCTGAGCGCATGCTGCCTGTGAGGGCTTACCTCTGTCAACAGAGATTTGTGTGCTCTTTCACACGGACACACCTGTGCACATATACTATACTGAGTAAGTGCTAGACAGGACAACCAAAGGAAGTGCTGCTACAAAGGGGGAGGAAGTTACCATCTGATGTTTTGATAAGACAAACTTTGATCAACCTCAGATTATACCATTCATTATCAACAGTTTTAGTTTATAATTTATGGTTTTAATGTCATCCAACAGATTTGTGGTGTTGTTGACTTGCTAAAAAGATGTGTCCAGCTATCAACATCCTCACATATTGGTATGGCAACTGTAAGATGCAGCAGCTTCAAACTCCTCTGTAGCTTTGTGTCCTCAAAAGCATGTAAATCCCTACATCAGGCCACTAACAGGACTGTTGACTTATTCAAACAACTCAAGTGTAAACAAACTATGGAGAACACACCTACAAATGCCAAAGCTTTGCAGAGATTTAGCGGTGACTAAACTTCAAGAGGACTTCAGTTAGAGTGCTTTGTCCTTACTGTTGTCAAATAAACAGATGTTAATTTGGAGCTGGAGCGCTGTGGGGTGCAGCTCCTTGCAAGGGTGCAAGGAGTCAGAAGAAATCGTACATCCAATTACCGCCATCTTCAGGCACGATGAGTACCAGCCCTTTAATCGTTAGGAGATACACTGATTCGTGACTAAAAATATTTATAGCGCAGAGACATCTGAAGTCACACACACATCTTATAAAGTGACGATAATGGGGAAAAAGGAATGCAGCGTTTTAATTGAAATCCAATTGGGCGACGGGGATGAATGACATTTGAATCATCATCAGACAGCCTTGTCATTCTGTTTCATCCTGAGATTGCGGTAACCATTAAAACGTCCAATATAGGAAGAGCACCGGGTGATGCGGTGCGTTATGATGCCGGGTTACATATAAAATGCAACATTAACGACAGGCGACAGCAGCGAGATAGATGAGGATAGATGAAGATAGAAAATAGGGATTAACACCGTGTTGTCATTTAGGGGGGAAAGTGATAGCAGCTGACTTTTGCGCAATGAAAACATGCTCACCGACAACGACGCTGCACATACACCAAACATAACAGAACCCAGCGTTTCCCCTTGGACGCACAATGTGAGGAGCGCTGCGGGGCAATGCGCGCGCCACACACACGTGCACATACACGCACGCACGCACACACACAAGCCATATACAACTGTTTTAAAACGGCTGAGCCCACCAGCAGCAGCTTAGTGAAAGGATTTAGTCTGTATGTTTACCTCGGTGTCATAGATTTTGGTGATGAGTGAGAACGAGTACTTCCTGGACTCCCGTATGTGCTGGATGGCCAGTTGGACCGCCGGCTCGATGCCCTGGCTGATGCTGCTCATCAGGGCCGATTCATTCATGGGCATAAGAACCATGATGGGCAAGTTTTCCCCGTCCCTGGCGAACCAGCTGTTGTCTTGTCCGTGTTTGGTGCGGTCGTTACACACCTTGGCCAGGGCAGGGTGAAATAGCAAAACAGAGAGGAGCAGGCATCCCGTCGGGAGGAACATCTCCCAGCCGCTGCAGTCCCTCCGGGCTGGAGCCATGCTACAGTGCAGGGTGACCAAATGAGATCCCACCGTACTCTCACTGCTTGGGCATCGCAAATTCGGGCTCGTCTGGGATGCTCAGACGCCCGCCCGTCAAGGAAATCGTATTTCAAAACACAGCAGACACGAAAGCCGCAGCAGCCCCTGCAGTGGGCAAACTCGTCGTATGGATTATGACTGCAAACTGAGAAAAATATTTCTAGTCTATAACAGTGCCTCTGTAAGAATATTCCAAGGGCGCAGAGATTCGCGTTGCAGAGGGAGAGCTATTGCCTCTCGGTGCCCGTCATCCAAACGATCTCCTGTCAAAACAGCCCTCTAATTCAACCTCCCTTTTCACCTTTAATTTCAACCACTTAATCTGTGAAGCACAAGAATGTCCCGACGGATGCCCCCCAAAACAAGGAGACCCCCGCAAGTGTAGACAGTAATCAATCACTCTCGTTGACAGTTGTTGCGGATACCAAATCACCACCGAAGTAAATTCCAAGCCAAGAGCTGGCAACTGTGGGCATCCCTGCCAAACGCAGTGCTGTATCTGACAAATTACGGGACAACGAAGCGATACGGAAAATAGACTAAAAACAAATGGAGCTGATGCTGAAAGCTTGACCACAGTGGTCCGAGGGGGAGATGTCGAGAGAGTCTGCCTTGACAGCCTGTGGGACTGGGATGCTCATCTCCGATGGTGCGTCAGAAAAGCGCTGAAGCCGTCGCTGCTGCTGCTGCTGCTGCTGCTCACCGTGCGCGCAAGAGGGAGCACTGAATGTGGAGGAGGAGAGGAAACGAGGGAGGGAGGGAAGGAGGAGGAGGAGAGGGAGGAGGGGGATACAACAGCCTGGTGGAAAGGCTGCATAGGCTTTATGCAGGGCAGACTCATCAGCTGCTTGACAGCCAAGGGTGATTTATGTTACAGGAGGCAGACGACGTTTCAGACATGCATGGAGCAGGCTAGTTAAAGTATACAGGGCTGTGTATACCTCTGTTAGGCTGCCTATCATACAACGGCCACATTAAAAACGCCTCTGAGAGCTTTATTTTTAGTGACTAATTATAAATGCATAACCAAAGCGATGGTGAGATAGTTCCCACAGGCAGCTGGGCTTTGATTCCCAGGCTGTACCTGCCGAACTGTCTCCGCGCGTAATAAGACATATAGGCTGTGTGCGTCTCAACACCAGGATTAAAAGAGGCGAGAGAGATTATAGGATCATTAAAGAATATATAAATAATCAGAATCTATATTAGGAATGAAGGTGCCGGAAGGAATTGGGACTTTGGCATGTGCTTTGATTTAGTGGTGTAGAAACACTGCCACCTGGAAAAGCAGTTGGACTCAGACATCCCCAGGGGTCCTTGTTTGAGGGGGGCCAAAGGGGGGAAATTATTTTCAAGGTAAAACTGAACTTAATGCAGACATTGAAATTGGTAGAGGCTGTTTACAAATGATCGGTTTAACTCTCTCCACTGTAAAATCATCAAATCTTTGGGAGACACTGGATTCTGAGGCATGAATGCAGCACCATGGACAGCGAATTGTCCCTGCTGGGCAGCCCGTGCGCTGTCCATGGTGCTGAGCTGCACTCCGGCGCAGCTCAACTCGTCCTCTGCTCTTGTTGACGTATGTACATTACCCCCATTACCTGTGCTCCCCTCTAGGCAGGTTATACACATTTTAATTCTTGTCTCTGTGTACAAGGATTACCTTCGCCTGCGGCCCCTGAGGTCCAAAAAACAGGCAATTATTGCAGTAGTTTGCAACACAATTCGTGGTATTGTTAAAAAGGCGTGGGAAGCGAGCAGAATATGATGCAGGGGGGTAACTGTTCTCCACATGTGGGAAAAAAAACATGAAAGCCTTTCAAGTCATCAGCTGCGACTGTGTTTCAAAGCAGAAGCACATGCGGTTTGACCTGCGCAATTATATCACATGCGCAATTACAATCTGCGTCAAGGGGGTTCGTTTGAAAGCGGCCTGAATGGAAACACAAATGGGAATGTAATGTGTTTTTTCATATTCAGCGCGAGGGCGAACATGGCGCTGTGCATAAATATCGCATTTGTTACAATCACCTTGTGGATACAGGTGTGAACTATGGCCCATTTCACATCGCCCACGCCACGAACAGGAAGCAACAGTTTTGCTTAAGTGAGGAGATATTAAAGATGAAGTCCAAAGTGCAACACGGGTGACAGGATGCTTTAAATACAATACTGACAACTATAAGAATTCGTAATCATCCTACAAAATAATCAATATAATATAATTCACTGCAGGGCTTAAATGGGCATTGCAAAACAACCTATATATAGTAAATACTCCTAATCACAATATGATTCCCATCCCTCAAACACAACCAATTTCCTCTATCTTTATTATAGCATTAAGGCGCAAAGTGGTCATGGGTTGATCCTCTTGGCCTCTTAAAACACAGGTCATTTATCACATGGCCAAGCAACTCCATGTACACAACACACAAAGGTCCTGGAGCCCTGGAGGATTGCTGGAATATCTAGTCTTTCTCTCTGTCTCTTTCTCTGACAAGCACATCCTTTATACTAAAGATTTTTTTTTCCAAATCAGACATCTTAACTCCTTAAGGGGAAGGGTCTTGTTATCTCTTGATACTGTCTCAACCCACGTTTTGACCTGTTAGAAATACCTGCTTCCTAATTTAAGGGGCACGAATAACTGGCTCAAGAAAGCAGGCGAGGGAAGTTTGCCGCAATCAAAGTGCAGGTGCAGCGAGCGTGGGAGTATAGTTAGCACATGCTACGATAAAAAAAAAATGAAGCTGTAGCTTATGCACTTTGGATCCATCCACACAATAAATCCATCACACAACTCTATTTCCTCTCTGTACTCATCCTTCTTTTCTATTCACAATGGTCCAGATGAAGAAGTAGGTCAAGTTGTCGTCCCATCTGTTTGTTTCACACAAGACAACATCCCTCCCTTCTCAATACATTCCTCCAACAACCAGACAGCAGTGAGTTAGCAATAAGTCGTGGAGTATGGACAGTGCCAAGTCGGACACGGCATCAAACAGCAAATGAAACTTACTTAAATACAAGGTGAGGAAACTATAAATCGACTGGCAATGAAGAGTTTTGAAAATTAATTCCTTAATCAAAGCGCACACTGGTTTGTATTAAAGCAACACCGACAGACATTTCTAGTAACAATCTTTGTTTTGTTTTTTTTTGTAATATAGAAATGCTACGTGTCCAGCTAATGATCGTCGCAGATGCCCAAATGAAAATGTCTATTTCATTTCAGATTATGAATCATTCATTAAGCTTTCAATCATGGCTCTGCAATCTGCCCGTCCTCACTAAACGAGATGTCAAGCCAATATCTCACCACTAATTGGAACACACTTGTGTGCTATGAAGGGCACACAGTAAAATAATTATGCAGATGTTGCTACTTGAGCAATCAGCGATGAAATGTCTTATTATGACGGTGGATTCAGTGACCACGATCAGTGACGTAGCAACTTAGACAAAAGCTTTCAGGTAAAGTGTTAAACTGCATCAAATGACTTTGCCTCACGTACAAATGATCTTCATCAGTGAGACCATTCGGAAACAAACTGAAGTATGATCAAGATTTAAAACCGTGCTGCCAAACACCTGACACTCAATGCTGAAAGGACTCATAAATGCATCATCCAATCAACGCACACATACACACACACAGAGCTGGCTGACATGTCCCTGTTTAATAGAGATTAATGGGGTGGCCTAAGGACATCCCTCACCAAAACCCTGACAATACGCCACAAGATGCTCTATGAATTTTAAATGCCAGGTATTCAGAACAGGATGAATGAAAAATGATATTTCCGATGCTCTCATATTTCATAGCTCAGATGCTCGCGCTCACCGATGGAATATCCATGTTCATCTTTTGTGACTTGTTTATAAAATGAGCAGGGAGCTGAACAGTGTGATGGATAATTAATCAACTTTATGTCACTTTCTCATTCTGTAACAGTTTTTCTTATACCCACACCTGATCACAGCACTCTGCTGGTTTGACTAATATTTCTGCAGTGTGTGTGTGGAGGAGAGATGAAAAGGTTATCCCATTTATCCATCCATCCCATCCCTAATTCGCTATTTAGCCGCAATGGGACATTATGCTGAGTTCTGTTTATATCTATAAGTCATCGAGGCTTAGTATGATTTGGAATCACATTCCACATCCTTGAACATAAACTCTGCAGCATGAAAAGGCTTTGCTGTCATCTCTTTAGCACACAGATGCACACGCCGGAAGTAAAAGCTAGAATAGGTTTTCATTTATCCCAGATCAACACCTTAGTTCAGAGTTACCGCACGCATGACTGATGTAAAAACTCCAACCCAAGGACATCGGACTCTATCTGGAAATGGCGCCGACGAGTTACTCTACTATACAGCAGGGAACATTTTATTATGAATCTCTGAGATGCTTCTTCCCCTTGTTCTCGACACGCTTGCCCTGCCAGTTATAGTGGCAGCTATTTGAATAATTGGTTTCAGAATCTGGAGTCACAGTCCTGCGAATTCCATGCATACCAACAAGTTGAGGAGCGTTTCTTCAACTGGGCGTGTTCCGTGCATGGCGGTGGAGAATGCATGTTTTATAAGCTTGGAAAAACATGAAAACATTGCGGACTGTAAACTAGGAAATTTCCCCTTCAGATAAGGTGGAGGGATGACTTGGATTGGCATCTGTTGGGGTGCATGACACTGAAACTTCTTAATTAAAATCTTTTGAGCTACAGAAGTTTGTGCGACTCGTTTAGTGAGATATGCTGTGTGATACAGGCGATAGATAAAACTGGTGAGAAGTTCACTTACGGTGGCCATGAGGACCAAAACACTACAACATTACAAAAAACAAAACAACCTTCACAAAACCTGTGAGAGGCAGCAATGTGCCACAAGGCATCCAGTCCACCAGAAACCAAATGGAAGAAGTACTCACACTTGGTATAGACTGACAGACAGTGCATCCAATCAGTAACAAGGAATCATTGTCCAATGTACCTACTTTTTGCGGTTTGAGTGTGAAATGTTGAAGTGTTTTCTGAAATGTTTTGTATTCTGTAATGTTGTGTTTCCTGAAATTTCATTTTGTTTTGACCTTCAGGGCCACCGTATTTACTAGTCAAACTTTTAAAGTCTTAACTGTTCTGCAACATCAGTGGAATATCATGCCTTAATATTCATCTTGCTTTACTGGATGTTTTATCTGACTACAACTGGAGGTCACAATGCACAATTTTACAACTATATAATATACAGTAGATTGTTAAACTCAAGGCATCCACACGCTTTAACAACTAAAAAATATTCACAAAAAGGAACTCACCTTGAAAAGCACTGGAAGACAAATGGGTAAGTTCCCCTCATCTCCATCAATACACCAATCCCTGGCTATCTATAAATACAAGACCAACTAGATTTAAACCACACAACGCTTAATTAAAGTAATTACATCCCAAAACACAAATGGACAAAACCAGCAGGACACAGCCCTCTCACAGGCTCAGGAGGATGTTGGGATGAAAAGGAACCAGGCCAACAGAAAGAGAGTGTGAGAAGTGATGGCACAATTTTTGGAATATTACAACAAATTTGTACTTTCATGTAATAGTACAAAAATCCCACTTCATCTATTGCTTTCTGTCTAGTTTCACTTTTGAGGGTGTTATAGGTTTGTCTTTTTTATTTATAAGGCTGTAGCAGTTTGGT